GGGGAGCTCTTACCGGACATGTTCGAGCGAAAACTGGGTCCGGTGTTCATGACGGGGTCGGCATAACCCGTGTGGGGCATCCTGTTGCTTCCTACCCATCCCTCAGCAGCGGCTAAGCCATCCGGTCGACTTGTATGATCCGCTGGGATAGGACTTAGCAGCGGAGACAGGGGATGAGAACATCCCGCGCAAGAATTTAGTTAGGCAGATAAGCCAGGCTGCGAACTTGTAATAAATGGACAAGCTCTTGAATTCCGTTATAGCCTATAAGATTTTTAGCCCTCCTCCCCTTTCTGTATAAAAAGGTTAGCACGTTCCAACCCTTTCCTTCATCAAGGCCATAAAGCTCGGGGTGTGGGTGAGCAAAGTATGATCACGCTGATGAGCAAAGACGCCGTAGCCGCCGAGGCAGAGGTTTCTCATAGTCTGACCAGTTTTACTCAGAGTTTGTTTTCGTATCCCTAGCTTCTAGGTCTTAACGTGAGAGGGAGTCAGGCACGAAAAATGTTCACCAGGTGGATATACTCTTAGACGCGCACCGACCTCTTCGGTAGCTAAGGCCAAAAAGCCCAGGGTGCAAAAAAACTCTGATCACGCTGGTGAGCAAAGGCCCCGTAGCCGCCGAGGCGTAGGTTTCTCGCAGTCCGACTAGTTTTACTCAGTGTTTATTTCAGCAAACCTCGCTTCTAGGTCTTAACGTGAGAGAAGGTCGGGCGTAAAGAATGTCTACCGGATAGGTACGCTCTTATTAGCCCTCGAGTGAGGCCCGACCCCTCGCCATTGCTAGGGTCGGGCGTCACCTAAAGATCAGGGTGTTGATAACGAACTGATAAGAGAAAGTATGCGTTTATTAAGGGTAGAAAGTGACGTAGTTGCTCAATGTTATAGGCATTAACGAAAACTTCGCCATCGATGGCCTTTTGCTTGTAGGCGCCTAGTTAGAGCACCCCCGCGACGATGTGCGGTCCCTCCTACGGTGAAAAGAACTTGTGGTGGTTCTTGTTGCTTTGGACAAAGCGAAGCGGCAGGTCCCCGACGTTGAAGGCCCGATCTCGCACTCGATGGCTGTGGTACCGGCACAACGCTTGCTGGTACTTGGCCGAGCGGAGGTGGGCAACGTTGCATGCTTTATCTAGCTAGTCTCCTTCATGTGCTCTTCCTTGTTGAAGCCCCTGGACAAGAATCGCTTTAAGAGGCCGCAGTCCTTGTATAGGTGCTCGATGGGGAAAGCATGGTTCGGGCATGGCTCTTCGAGCAGCCTCTCAAAGTGGTTCGGGGTACCCTTCGCGGGCTTCCGACCTCCCTTACGGTCGACAGTGGCCACGAGCGAGCCCTCGCGTCGCTGTTTGTTCTTTTTCTTGTTGGGACGGTTGGAGGTGCCTTCGCCGACGTCCTCATCCCGCTTCGCCTTGCCCTTGAGGATGCATCGGCCAAAGGCCTATGGTCCCAGCGAGTTGGGGCTCGGGCTTCGGTCCTCGCCGCTGCCGTAGCGTCCGCCATGACGTGAGTGGTAGCCATGCCTAGCCCCCTCCCTCGCATCGTCGTAGGTACGCCTACGGGGGTCGAGGGTGTCGCGTGCGTCGCGGTGGAGGCTGAGACGCTCATGCACCGGAACCACGGTGCGCGGCCTGCCGCCTTGCTGCGCCTAGTGGACCGACACATCCTCACCGGGTTGTTCTGAGGGCATGTTACGCTTGCGGGCGTCGAGGGTGTCACGTGCATCATGGTGGGGGCCGAGACACTCATGCACCAAAATCACGATGTGCGGCCTGCACGGGAGCGCTGTCGAGGCGCTTCGGACGAGGTATTTTGGAGAGAGCGGCTCTCCTCCGGCAAGCTGCATCATGATGTTGGCGAACGGAAAAGTGAGGTGGCGTAGGTCCTCCCAGGACGGTTGAGGTCCCAGGAAGGTGCTGAGCTGGCGCTCTAACCTCCCATAGTCGAAGCCGGGGGCGCGGACCTTCGGTGCATGTAGCTGCAGCTCCCCCAGCTCCTCGGCGATCGCGCCGAGGCTGGCGGAGTGGAGAGGTTGGACGGCGGTGGGAGCCCACACCAGCTCTCCCTCCATCGTGACGATGAAGTCTGGATCCCCGAGGCGCACGAGCGTGCCTGGGACCCGGCTGACGTTGCGATTAGCCATCCAAGGCCTGGTGTGGATGTCGAGACGCGTAAAAGGCCCCTACCTGGCGCGCCAACTATCGGTGTTTCGAGTAAACACCAACGAGTAAATTTCTAATATTGCGTGTCTAGCTCAGATGGTGTGCTAAGAGGACACGAGGTTTATACTGGTTTGGGTGGAATGTCCCTACGTCCAGTTCGTTGCTGCTGCTCGTGTTACTAGCACTGAAAAGTTCATAGTAGGGGTTACAAACAGGCGAGAGAGGGACATGTCCCAAGTCTCTGGTGGAAAGAATGAATGGGTGCCGATAGCTCGGTCACTGCTCGGCTATGTGTTCGAGGTTCGATGCTAGTGGTTTTTTATCTGATCTGATCTGATGCGATGACCTTTAGTGGGGTGCCCTGCTTTCCCTTTTATAGGCTAGGGTAAAGCACGGGTTACAGTGGAAGAAAAGAGGAGAACGAGAGGGAGAGGAAGTCCTTCAGGGTCGCCGAGCCTTTCTTTTCCTTTGTGCGGGTCCCGCTGGCACGACAGGTGGTGATAGGGATAGCTCCACGTCGGGCGCCTGTCCGCCGATGATGCCATGCCCTGGCGTTGTCAGCGGGTCGTGACGTCCCATTCTGCCCCGGCGGGCGGCGTGGCGAACCAGCGTGCTGATCAGCGTCCGTACAGGGAGTAGGCAGCATAGTGACCACGCGTCCATCACTGTGGGTGATGTGAGTTCCCTGGAATGACATGTCATGGGGACGGGTCGTGTTGAGACGTACACGATGCCAGAAGTTTGACCTTGGGTTGTACTTTCTGGCCCGTAGTGGTTGGCGGCGGCGTGAGCTTCCGTTAGGAGCCATGCCCGAGGGATCGGGCAAGGCGGAGCTAGCCTTCAGATGTTGGGCGAGGTGGAGCCCGCCCTCGGGGGTCGAACGAGGCGGAGCCTGCCCTTACAGGTTGGGTGAGGCGGAGCCCACGACCTCGGTGTCGGGCGAGGCAGAGCCCATCCCCAGAGGTCGGGCGAGGTGGAGCCCGTCCCCATAGGTCGGGCGAGGCGGATTGCACGACCTTGAGGTTGGGCGAGGCGGAGCCCACTCTTAGAGGTCGGGCGAGGCGGAGCCCACGGCCTCGGTGTCGGGCGAGGCGGAGCCCGTCCCCAGAGGTCGGGCGAGGCGGATCGCACGACCTTAGGGTTGGGCGAGGTGGAGCCCGCCCTTAGAGGTCGGGTGAGGCGGAGCCCACTACCTTGGTGTCGGGCGAGGCGGAGCCCGTCCCCACAGGTCGGGCGAGGCGGATCTCATGACCTTGGGGTCGGGCGAGACGGAGCCCGCGTCCTCGGTGTCAGTTAGAGCTGTAGTCACACTTTTGACTGCCTGGATGGATTAACGTATAACAACTATTAGCCCCTCCTCTGCGGGTACCCTATTATTTGTCCCCGACAACCCCTATGAGCATCTTCGAAGACTGGACTGACAAATTCTCGAGATTAGCGAAGGCACCACAAGCGCCTCGCTGTCGACGGGAATGTCGCCAAAGTTACTCTTACTCGCAGGCCGCAGGCCAACCGTCCATTGTCATTTCGGGCCTGCGGATGAGGTGTCAACCATAAACCATTGCATGCATGTAGATTGAAAATTTAAGATAATCAAACTTCAAATGCTAATGTTTCTGCTTAATGTATGTACGATTTGCAATTTGTTTTCACCATGATATTCCTTAAGATTTTATCTACAAAATAAGATTCCACATGGCTATACTTCTTTGAAGAAAAAATGGCATGTGGACCCTACATGTCATACTCACAGCTCTGACATCGTGGCATGACTGGCATCCAAACACACTTTACCACTCCAGATTTTGGCATTCGCTGAATTTCGGCTCTATCATAAGCTAAACATCATTTTTTAGGACTAATATTATTTTTAATATAGTCCATACTCTACAACCCTTGCATTTGTCAATCACAACGTAATGTTATTAATGTTTGGCATTACCCTCTGGTCTCAATAATTTTGTTACAATATGAATTCTATCTGGTAGGTAACCAATTTTGGGTAACTAGTCGTCATAATCAGTGCCAGCAGCACAATAGGGCAACCACAACAAGAGGCTTTGTATTTGTACCGATCTGCTCCTTAAGATCAAATTGGCATAATGTGTTTTGTAGTTAATTTCTAAATCCGATTTTGAACTCTCTCAATCTCTTTATCGTGCAAAAAATCTGACAGCCTTTGCTCTCTGCGGTGGAAATGAAATGCGGTTATTTGCAGCTGCAAAATGGCCCCGTTCGCGTGTCCTTAAATTTGGCTTGATCCACTTCTTTTTTTTTATCCGGAACGATGTTTTTCTCTCATAAATTTTTTCAGATTCCTCCAGATTCCTCCCAGCGAAAGAGCCCAACGTGCGGTAACCGTGTGATCACCTGGACACTGACTTGACATGCACAAAGGAAAGGAAGAAACAAGGAGCGAATCTAATCAACTTTCTAAAGTTTCGGAGAACAATACAAGTTCTACTTGGGCCTTGTTTAGATTGCCTCCAAATTCTAAGTTTTTTCACTCTCTCTCTATCACATCAATTTTTGAACATATGCATGAAGTATTAAATATAGGTAAAAAAAATAACTAATTACACAGTTTGGTTGTAAATCACGAGACGGATCTTTTGAGCCTAGTTAGTCTATGATCGGATAAAGTTTGTCAAATATAAATGAAACATACTACAGTGTCCAGGTCACAAAAATTTGCAATCTAAACACGGCCTTGTTTGTCTTCAAATATAAAAGCTTCACGAGCAACTTGTTCACCCAATTAGTTCAAGCTTATTTCAATGCTCACCCAATTGGGCACACAAGATCCAAGGTCACTATTATTTATTTTGTCGCAATAATAAACTAATTGTCCTTATTACCGTTGAACCTGTTGATCTTGAAGTGGCCGAGTTCCACGCCGGCCTCCACTGCAGTCCTGGCCTCGCCGTCGATGGCCATCTCAGCCAGGATCCTGCCCACCGCCGGCCCCATCTTGAAGCCGTGCCCAGAGAACCCGGCCCCGACCACCACGTCCTCCCCGAACTCCCCACCCAGCCAGTCGATGACGAAGTCCTTGTCTGGCGTCATGGAGCATATGCACGACTGCCGGACGACCGGCCCGCCGGCGGAGTCCACGTGGCCCGGCATGAAGTCCTGGATCCACGTAGCCACCCGGTCGGTGATCTCTCTGTCGCCGGAGGCCCAGTCGCGGTTGTCCGGGTCGCACGGCGGCCCGCCGTCGCAGCTGATCTTGATGAGGCCCGGGAGCTCAAGCGACGGCGTGCCGTAAACGGGCGTGTCGCCGTAGCTGGAGAACGTCGGGAAGCCAGCCTTCGCCGTCAGGCCGCGCTCGCGGCCGGGCTTGATGCGCCAGTAGAGGGTCAGCGTGTGCAGCGGCTGGATGGGGATCTCCACGCCGGCGACGGACCTGAGAAGCTTGCTCGTCCACGCGCCCACCGTCACGACGCACTTGGCGCCGTGGAACTCCTCGCCGGCGCTCGTCGTCACCACGACGCCTCCCTCCGGCCCCTTGCTGATGTCCACGACCTCGGCGTTGTCCCTGACCACGGCGCCCATCTTGACGGCGAGCGCCTGGAACATGGCCACCGCCTTGGTCGCGTTCAGCACGCCGCCGCCGCGCTCGCTCACCGCGGTCACCCACCCTTCCGCCGGTGCCTGGAACGCGCCTCCCCACATCTGGCTTAGGTCCACCTCCTCCGCGCCGGCGCTCTTGACGGCGGCGAGCAGCGCGGCGTTGCCGCGCGGGCCCATGGAGAGGTGCGGGGCAGGGGTGAGCACGCGGTACCCGGACTCCGCCTCCGCGTCCGCCCACAGGCGGCGGGCGAGGCGCACCACGGGTGGGTACTGCGCCTTCACGTAGGCGTCGCGGATGATGCGGGAGTCGCCGTGCGAGGAGCCGAGCTGGTGGAGCAGGTCGAAGCGCTCCAGGAGCAGGGTGTGCGCGCCGCGGGACGCGGCCGCGTGCGCCGCGCAGCTTCCCATGATGCCGGCGCCCACCACGATGACATCGTAGTCCAGGCGGAGGCCCGCGGCAGCGGCGGCGTCATGAGCTTCTGCGGGGGCAGTCATGACCACGACTCCACGAGGCGGACGACGCTCGATACTGGGTTTCCGTGTCCTTACGCAGTTATGCAGATGCGGATGATTTTATATATAGACAGAGTGGGGAGGCTCTTAGATCGTCAGATCATGATCTTACTCCAGCTAGTGTCCTGTTTAGATAGTTATATCTCTTTTTATGCTTTGATTTTGTTCATGTCGAAATTTCTTTCTCTTCTCCCATGCTAAAATTGGGCTTACCCGTCCTAAGTTTTGATTAACGCAAGCCACAACAAAAAAATGATATTTTGCATAAATTTTTAATTAAGACAAGTGATTAAACTTGAGATAAAAAAATCAAACGAATTATAATTTAAACGGAGGGAGTACTTTTGAAAAGAGAGAAAAAAATGGCTCGGCTCAGTGTTGTAGTGTAGCTAAAGTGCACATAAGAGCCAGTGTTGGAGAGCCACGAATAAAAACCGCTCTAGATCGGACACTGGGAAAACACTGTTTCAGCGTCCGGTCACTCCTCGGCAGTAGTTCACCTCCTGTGAACTGACCGGACGCTGGACATCAGAGTCCGGTGCAGCGTCCGGTTACTCTTTCTTCAGCAAATCTTCAAAGTCCTTCGTGCTGTCTGTTCCCAATCAAGTTCCAACTCAAATAAGATCCAAATAAATACCAATTAGGACTGATGTGAGTGACCTCTCTCAAACCCTCATATTTTTCAAAAATATTTTACCTTAGGCTATAAATCTTTTTAAGAAAATAGGCAATAAGAGGGCAATTTAAGTTAAACAACAAACAATAATCATGCATATGCAATGCAATACTTGAAAGTAAATCTAGTTGCTTATCAAGTTTGATCTAAGGTTAAGCTTCTTCACACGCTTTTCGGCGGTTATCTTAACCATGTTAGACAAGTCGTATATGCATTATCAAAGATTAAACATGTTGTATATTACAATGCAATGCAAGTGACAACACAAGCTCATCTTTTAGTAAAGTTGCTAAAATCAAGAACATTGAGCTCATTCCACAATCTACAAAAAGTTGCCTCATCTAACGGTTTAGTGAAGATATCCGCCAATTGATCCTCGGTCCTTACACCTTCTAATGATATATCATTCTTTGCAACATGATCTCTAAAAAAGTGATGGCGGATATCTATGTGCTTGGTGCAAGAGTGTTGAACCAGATTATTTGCAAGTTTTACCGTACTTTCATTATCGCACAAAAGAGGTACTTTTTCTAGAACTACACCATAGTCTAGCAAAGTTTGTTTTATGTAAAGTATTTGTGCACAACAAGCACCCGTAGCAATGTATTCCGCTTCGGCGGTGGACAAGGCCACACTATTTTGTTTCTTGGAGGACCAAGACACAAGTGATCTACCAAGCAAATGGCACCCTCCGGATGTGCTTTTTCTATCAACTTTGCACCCGACATAATCCGAATCGGAATAGCCAATTAATTCAAATCTAGCTCCTTTGGGATACCAAAGGCCAATGCTTGGTGTGTGCTTAAAATACCTAATAATTCTTTTTACGGCAATTAAATGAGTTTCCTTAGGATTAGCTTAAAATCTAGCACATATACACATACTAAACATGATGTCGGGCCTAGATGCGGTTAAATATAATAAACTACCAATCATATAGCGGTAGAGAGTTTGATCAACCTTGTTACCTCCCTCATCTAGGTCGAGATGTCCATTAGTTGGCATTGGTGTCTTGATTGGCTTACATTCATCCATCTTGAATCTCTTGAGAAGATCATTTGTATATTTCTCTTGAGAGATGAAAATCTCTTCTCTCATTTACTTGACTTGAAAACCAAGAAAGAATGTAAGCTCTCCAATCATTGACATCTCGAACTCTTTCGACATCAATTCACCAAATTCTTTGCAAGAATCTTTATTTAATGATCCAAAGATGATATCATCAACATACACTTGACAAATGAAGATATGACCATCAAGCTTTTTGGTGAATAGTGTGGTGTCGACCTTCCCAATGGTAAAGCCCTTCTTAATGAGGAAGTCCCAAAGGCGCTCATACCAAGCTCTTGGGGCTTGCTTAAGGCCTTGTAATGCCTTGGACAACCTATAAATATGATTAGGATATCTAGGGTCTTCAAATCCGGGAGGTTGATCAACATAGACTAGTTCATTAATAAAGCCATTTAAAAATGCACTTTTCACATCTATTTGATATAGTTTCATATTATGATGAGATACATATGCAAGGAGGGTACGTATGGCTTATAGTCTTGCAACCGGTGCAAAGGTCTCTCCAAAATCCAAACCTTCAACTTGAGAGAACCCCTTTGCTACTAGTATTGCCTTGTTCCTCACAACTACGCCTTGATCATCTTGCTTGTTTCTGGACACCTACTTTGTTCCAATAACTCTTGCACCTTTTGACCGCTCTTTAAGAGTCCAAACTTCATTGCGGGTGAAGTTGTTCAACTCTTCATGCATGGCATTTATCCAATCCGGATCTTAAAGAGCTTCTTCAACCTTAGTAGGCTCAAAACAAGAGACAAAAGAGTGATGAGCAATAAATGAAGCAAGTTTTTGTGAGCGAGTCATTACACCCTTTGATGAACTCCCTATGATAAGATCTTGTGAATGATCTAGTAGTAGAGGTGTATTTCTTCTATTGACCACTTGAGGAGGAGGTTGTGGAGCATCAACATCTTGTGCTTGTACCACCATTTGCTCATGGGAGACATGAGTGTCTTCATTTTCTACTCTCCTATCTTTTTCACCATCTTGTGGCACACTTGATAAATAAGGTGGATCAATCACTTGTATATTATCTTCATCATCTTTAGGCTTAATGTCTCCAACCGGAATGTTCTTCATAGCCTCCCTCAATGGTTCATCACCTACATCATAAAGATTCTCATGTGCTCCTTGGGAGCCGTTAGATTCATAAAATTCCACATTATATGTTTTTTCAACCAAGCCGGTGGCATGATTAAATACTCTATATGCTTTGGACTTTGATGAGTAACCAACAAGAAAACCAATATCACAACGTCTTTAAAACTTCCCTAGGTGTTGCCGCTTCTTGTAGATGTAGCATTTGCAACCAAACACCCTAAAGAAAGAGACGTCCGGCTTCTTCCCATTGAGCAACTTATAAGGTGTCTTGCCAAGGAACTTTTAAAGAAATAGGCGGTTTGATGCATAGCATGCGGTGTTGATAGCTTCCACCCATAGAGCTTCGGGGGTGTTGTACTCATCAAGCATTGTTCTTGCAAGAGTGATCAATGTCCGGTTCTTCCTCTCAACTACACCATTTTGTTGAGTAGTATATGTTACGGAGACCTCATGTTTGATTCCAACTTCATCACAATAGGCTTCAATGTTTATGTTGTCAAATTCCTTCCCATTGTCACTTCTAATCTTTTTGAGCTTCACTTCAAATTTATTTTGTGCTCTCTTAACAAACTTCTTGAAGCAAGATGCAACTTTGGATTTGTCATGAAGGAAGAATACCCATGTATACCTAGAATAGTCATCAACAATCACAAGACAATAAAGATTTCCTCCTAAACTCTTGTGTGTTGTTGGTCCAAATAAATCCATGTGAAGGAGTTCTAGCACTCTTGTGGTTGACATAAAAGCTTTGGTTGGATGAGTATTTGCAACTTACTTGCCGGCTTGACATGCACTACAAAGCTTGTCCTTCTCAAACTTCACATCCTTCAACACTCTCACCAAATCATTCTTCATTAGCTTCTTGAGTGAGCTCATCCCAACATGAGCAAGTCTTCTATGCCATAGCCACCCAAGTGTTGTTTTGGTGAATAGGCAAGTCTTCAAGTTTGCATCTTCAGATGTGAAGTCCACTAAATATAGGTTGTTGTATCTAAATCCTTTGAATATCACTTGATCATCATCCTTCTTAGATACAACAACTTCCTTCTCGGTAAACACGCATTGGAAGCTAAGATCACATAATTGTCCAATGGATAGTAAGTTAAAGCTCAATGAAGCAACATATAACACATTTGAGATAGAATGATCATTTGATATTGCCACTTTACCCAATCCTTTAACCTTGCCCTTTGAGTTATCTCCAAATGTGATTCTTTTTGTCCATCTACTTCTTCATCAAGTGAGGTGAACATACGAGGATCACTGGTCATATGTTGTGTGCAACCACTATCAATAACCCAATGACTTCCACCGGTCTTGTAGTTCACCTACACACAAGAGATCAAGCTTTATGAACTCAAACTTGTTGAGGGCCCTTCACCTTCTCAACAAGTGACTTTGCAACCCAAATTTTCTTAGGCCTATTCTTGTTGGGAGGTCCTAAGAACATGACTTTTATTTTCCCATTAGAATCCTTTCTAAGTATGTAGTGAGCATTGAAGGCAAAAGGTCTAGCATGTTTGGGCAAGGGTTGTGGTAGTGGAGTTTGGCACTCATGAGCAAAGTGGCCTTCTTGTCCACACTCAAAGCATCTCTTTGGCTTTGGCTTTTGTTGTTGTTGAGCTTGAGCCTTCTTCTCTTTGTTTGCCATATACCCAATGCCACTTCTATCCATCTTCATGACGGTGTTCATAAGTAGCTCACTTTGAAGATGCTTGCCTCTAGTGAACTTGCTCAATCCAATCTTGAGATGCTCTTTCTTCAACTTAAGCTTCTTGTTTTCTTCCTTGAGAGCATCATGGTTCTTCTCTTTCTTGAGCTTCTTGTTTTCTTTTTTGAGCTTCTCATTCTCAAGCATCAACTCACCATCATGATCAAGAGTCTCTAGCACGATGGTGTTGTGGTTTTTGATCTCTTCAAGATCTTTCTTGAGCTTTGCATTGTCATTCTTGAGCTTGACAAACTCATCATAATCATCGGCCTCAACCACTTGCTTGCCCTTGTTACTTGAACTTTGCTCAATGCTCTCAATGATCAAATCATCACATGATGTAGCTATATCAATCTTAACAATATCGTTAGTAGCATCATGTGGCTCATTGGATAAAAATTCTTGAGCAATGACAAGACTATCATG